CCAAGTGTCAGGCTGGGCTGTGTAATGGCGGCTGCCGCAGTGAGATACAGCACAGTGCAGTCCAGCCTCCGAAAGACGCCCCCTACCTCTGGCCTCCTCCCAGGGACAGGCTGGGGTTGGGGTGAAGGTCCTGTACTCACTGTTGTTGCATGGTCGAGCACCGCCTCGCCAGTCCTGGCCTGTGTCCGCCCAGCAGTTCCGGGTCCGGGTGGGGTACTCGTTCCCAGCCTTGGAAAAACTCCCCACCTGGGGGCCATAGTAGACCCCCTGGGAACTGAGTCCACCAAAGCCTGTCACATGGGGGTAGCCAGAGAGGAGGCTGCTGTTTGGAGTGGCTACCGGCCTGCTCAGGATGTCTGTGATCCCATGGGGCGTCCCAGCGGCCAGCTGGGGGCCAAGTCCCGGAGGGCTGAGCTTGTAGAAGGAGTTCTGCACCGAGTACTGGCACACGGGAGCCTTCATTTCCGAGAACTGGGCCAGCTGTGTGTTGTTCAGGAGGAACGTCCCCTGCAGGTTGGACTCCATGGTCTACAGCTCAGTGAGTAGGAGGGCAAGGAGCCCTTAAAGCCCAAATTCCTCAAATGGTGGCCCAGAATCTTACGGCAGGTTCGGAGAGTCAGAGTCCCCCCATCCCACTCAGGCCTCTGACTGTTCTCTGGCTCGGTCCTTCCTTAGAGATGGGGCACGGAAGTCAGGTGTCCAGAGAAGGTGGGAGGCCTTATGCTTTTTCCCTCCGTCAGCTGGGTCTAAGGAGGGTTGTTCCCCATATTCAGAGCACCCAATTCAGAGCACTCTGAGTCTGGGGGCCCTCCATCAGAAGTTTTAAGTTCAGGGAAGGGACATTTCCTTGATAAAGATATGGCCCATTAGAATACAGACCTGAGACTGGCTGAGCTGCGAGCGCTCTGCCGCCATTGGTTGGAGCCCACATGGGCCTCACATTGGCTTCTCCTAGACAAATTGCACTTTGAAAGATTGACTGTAAATCAGCCGATCCGTGTGTGTGTGTGTGTGTGTGTGTGTGTGTGTGTGCTCGCGTGCATGTGCATGTGTGAAAGAATTAGCTCTAGATGCCCTGTGCGTGGTCAGAGGCTCCTCTTGCTTACTCAAGTCCAGTATCTAGGAAAAGGAGGGTGTCTGGAGGTAGCGACTGGAGGCTCCTGCGGAAGTCTTTATTTGCTCCCTTGAGGGAGAGAAGGACTGGCTCAGTGGTCACCGTCTCAAGCTGCCCCTGAATCAATCCCCTTCCTCCTCCAAGACAGGGTAAGTCGGGCTGAGCAGGAGCTGCTCTGGGGTAATGCAAATGTCTCCCACCTGAGGACCCAGCGTGAAAAACTTCTCACAAAATGGCTTGGGGAGTGGGTCATGCAGCAGCTCCTAGAGTTGCAGGGGTGTGGGTGGGAGAGGGGCATTCCACCGAGGCTGAGAAGGGGTAGCTGTGTAAACGTTCAGCTTCAGCCAGTCTTTCTTGGTCTCTTCAGTATTCTGTCTGATGTCCTGGGTGAAGTTTCTCATGTGAGGGGCCCTGTGCTCCTGAGGCAGACTCCTAAGCAGGGCAGTTGGGTTGAGACTTGAGACTAAACCGAATCTAAGAGCACCATGGGCTTTGTTTCCGATGGATCTTTTTTTTTCCCCAATCTGCTGGTTCTTGTGGGGGCAAGCTCTCATTTGACAACAGGGAAACTGAGGCACAGGGGAATGAGGGGAAAGATTCAACATTCTTTCCTGAAGTTACTCTCCAAAAATGTGAAATGACAGGGACAAAGTGAGTTCTTCCTGGTCCAGGGTTTGGGGTGGGGGTGGGGTCTGTGTTTTCACAGGTGAGAGGCAGGGTCTTTCCTTTGTTAGCCTTCTCTGAGGCAGAGGACTGATACAGGGAAGGTTGGCTGCTGTGTGGAATCCGACTGTGACGTAAGCAATACTCTTTATGGCATGGCTGATCTGGGTGACGAACAGAAAGAATTTTACAAAGAGGGAGATGGTCTTTTTACAAGTTTTGATTAGGAAAAACATGAGAAAGAGTTGTTTTTAATTTTTTTAAAAAAGACTGTGTGTGTGTGTGTGTCCCTGGGTCCACCTGATGAGTCCAGAAAAGGATGTTGAATCCCCTGGGACTGGTGTTAAAGACAGTTGTGAGCCCCTCAACGTGTTAGGAACCAAGCACCGCCTTTCTCAGCACCATCTCTTCAGCCTGAGAAAAAGTTCTCTCTCTCTCTCTCTCTCTCTCTCTCTCTCTCTCTCTCTCTCTCTCTCTCTTGTTTTGTTTTGCTGTTTTTTTTTTTTAACCATTGTACAAGAGACTATATTTTGGGCAATGGATTTCTAATTTATGGCAAGTTTTACTTTCAGAATCAAACCCACTGAACAGCCCATTCTAATTTACCCTTGAAGCCTGGCTCGCTGAGCCAGGAATGTTCTTATTCTTTGTAGAAGTTCCTTCTCACAGGATCAGGCCCGAGGGCTCTGCCTGTTGGAGTGACATCAGCCACTAAGCCATCAACAGGATGGCTGTTGTGTTCTAGTCCTGTCTTTAATTATCTCTTCACAGTGTGTCTTCAATGGATTTTAGCTCTCAGCAACTCTCTGAGACACTCTCATGTCTCTTAACTTTTGGCCAGTCTCGGCTCTCACCTCTGCAGCCTTGTTCATCTTGCTGACCATGCACCTCAGCTGCCTGGACTTAAACCCTTGGGAAAAGGTTCATAATGGTTGATGTTAAGTTTGCTACCAGGTCATGGGCCAGCTATTCCAGATTCCCAGACAAGCCACCCAGCTGAGGTGATGGTGGTTCTGAAAGTGTTTGAAAAACCTTCTGGGGAATTCAAATGCAGGGAGGAGCGTTGGTGGGCTTTCAGTGCCTGAGAGCTGGGGCTGGACTGGTGCTGAGGCGCACCAGGGATTCTGGGAACAAAGATATGGTCACGCCATAATAATGAGAAGTCAGGACAGGGCATGTGCTGCAATGATTTGACTCTTATTTAATGCTAGAGCTGATAAGGCTGTGTTGTCTGGTAACCTTGAGTGACGTAGGCAAGAGACGTTAGACGCTGTTTATTCTCGGTGTGACAAAGGAGGGAACACTTCCAGTGTGGAGCCCGGCTTTGCATAAAGTGCTGGAAACTCCTTTGGAACAGGCTTCTCTTCCTCTCTCTAGGAAGGGCAGAATCTGGCAGCTCCCCTTGGTGAATGTCACCTGCCTGCCTGAACAGGCTCCCTGCTTTGTAGGGTCGGTACCACCCCCACCTCTTCTCATCTCCCGCTTTTTCTGGACACTTCTAGAGAGGGTGATACTGATTCAGGGGCTTTCCAGAAGCTGGACGTTGGTGGACTTTTAGGGGTAGAGAGAGGTGTCTCCTGATGCCACCCAATAGACCCCATCACACTTCAAACCAGGCTACACCCCTGCCCAGCACCTTAAACTCTCAAAGATGAGTCAAGGAGGAGAGATGGAGACCTGTGCCATGAGTCAGTTTCTTTATTAATTTGACATCTGTTTAGCTGGTGTAGGGAGAATGGTCTATACATCAGAATAGGGAGGGGTGGTCTCTCTCAGTAACAGAGCATGAGAGAGCCAGGACATAGTTCATTTTTCATAACAATTAAAAAAAATTAAGGTCATTTCAAAACTTCTAAAAAGCGTCTAAGGTGCAGACTGCAGCATTCTCTAGGCATCAAGTGGAGACCCCAAACTCCTCCTAAACAGCTCCTACTAGCAACGGGAGCGCGCAGCCATGCCGCCGAGGGCGGGGGGCGGCGTGCCAAGCAGCCAAGCCAGGCTGAGCGGAGGGTGCCAAAGCGGAGCCGGGCCGCGCGGGGCGCTAAGAGCCGCTACTGGGGCGGCGGCCTGGAGCGGAGGGTACGGGTCGAGGCGGGGCGACCCCGCGCCCGTCCTCGTCCGCCCAGCCCTCCCGGGGCCGCCCCTCGGAGGAAAGCTAGCCGCGCCCGCGGGGACCACAGCATCCCCCGTCCCCAATTCCTACACTCGCCCGGGGCTGGGGCTAGAGCGCGCGCGGCCTGGAGTGCCGGGGCGAGCCTCCAGGTCGTGGGGGCACGGGCATGGAGGGGCGTCTGTGCTACTTGGAAGGTTTTTATTGTGTCCCGACGACACCCTCCGAAGAGCGGCAGGCGAGGAAGGTGACCGCCGTCCACCAGTGGCTCCTGGAGAGCGAGAAGAGCCTGCCAGTCTCTTTCCTGGCCGTAGGGGGCGCCGCCCGGGCGAGGCGGAGCCGGATTGTGCTGATTCGGGCCTCCCTCTGCAGGAGACTCTAGTGTGACGTTAAGGCTCTTCCCTGAGGGCTCCAAGGCAAGACCAGCCAGTTGAGGGGTCCCTTCCTGGCCTGGCCCTGAGTCTAGATAGAAGAGGGTCTCTCCTCAGCCTCCTGGTCAGCAGCTCTCTCCTGCTCCGGGCTCTCCTTGCGCTGGGCCGGTGGTCGGAGCTTGAGTCCAGGTTCTGTGCCAGGACCTCCAGCCTGCGGCCACCTGCACTTCAAGCACCAAGTTGGCTCTGGGAGACCTCAGGGTGGTGGTGTGACCTAGGAACTGGCAGGTACATTCACAGCCCTACTCCCTTCCTCTTTCAGTGAAAGACAGCCTTTAGCTCCTCCCACAGCCTGGAGAAGTCCTCGGGAGCTGAGCTGTTTCCGGGCTTTGTACATACTGCTAACGTGTTTCTATTGGTTTGCATAGTATTTATTGTATTGATATACACAAGGCTGATTACTGTACAGTTTACACTTTTAACACAGACTATTATTGAAATGCTTGACGATTTCGAAAACCTCCCGTCTATCGAACATGCTGGTGCAATCCTCGGACAGCCACAGGCCCTTCCCCAGAGAGAACTTTGAGATGGGGCCCTGGCTCCCTTTGAGCCCTACAGCAAATCCTGAGGGCTCCTTGCCTCAGTTCCCAACTTTCTAAACACAAGGAACCCCGAATGCACTCTCAGGGTAATGATTTCCACTGGAAGATGATTAATACTGAAACTGAGAGACAACATAAAAAAAAATATATATCCAGTTTATCCATACAGCTTCAGAGGACACAGTAAAACCAGTGTGGATGAGTGAGGGGGAGGCCTGCACATGTGCACCCGTGTTGTGTCATTCTGGGAAGAGCAGTCCCTTCAGCGGGAAGTGTGGTGTGTGTGTGGGGGGGGGGGGGTTACAAGTGGCATGTGGTGTGTGCAGGTGTGGAAGGCTGGCACACGAGAAATGTGGGGTGATGGTGCTAAACTGATTCCACACCCAGTTTCCAGTTTCCCCCTTCCAGAATGATCTTGTGAGCTTCTTACAAATGAGGTCGAAGTCAAAATCAAAACAGAACAACAGAAAAAAGCAAACAAACTTTAACCAACCATCCCAGCCACAGTAGAGCCCTTATTCGTGTCTGCACCCATGTGCTCTTTGGGGGCTTGCTCGCTCTCCCTCACTCCTCTCCTTTGTCCTGATTCCCACAGAGATCCGTAGTCGCTAGAGGCAGGACTGAAGTCTGTAGGTCATGCGTCTATAGCTGTCGTTCATGCGAATGTGAGACTAAAGGGAGCCCCTTACAGAGGTCATGCCGGGATCTTAGGACACGTGCGACCCTCCAGTAGCCCTCTGCTCCAGGTCTCCTTCTGTGTGCATGACAGAGTGTGTGGAGTTCAGGGTTTGGGTGTTGAGGTGTGATCCTGCAGGACACAGAAAGAGGAGTCACTCAAGGGTCCCGTGCTTTCCTTCTGGGGCAGGGCCGACCAGGAGAAGCAGTGTCCCCAAGCAAAGCAGTGAGATGGCAGTGTCGTAGCAGAGGCTTGGCCCCAAAATACCACCCCATCCTTCCCTCTCTCTACCCAGATGTCTCAGCTCCCTAGCCAGCCAGCCTCCGGTGGGCAGAGAAGGTGGTGTCCTGCCAAGGAGGGTAGGAAAAAAACCTTCAGAGTAGATTTTTTTTTTTTGCATAGAAAGTGGCCATTTTTCTGAGATGGGTCTTATACCAAGAAAAACACTAGGCTAGGCAGTAGTGCGTCTACACTCTCAGTTCAGGTGGACCTACAACACTGTATCAGCTCTGTGTCTGCCCTGGACAAGATCACTGGTTTCAGGAACTCATGACCTTGAAGCTCTGGTCCTGGGAATTCATGACCTTGAATCTCTGGTTTTGGGAACTTACGACCTTGAAGCTTTCTGTACTTGGGAACTCTTGCGTTAAAGCTCTGGTCTTGGGAACTATAACCTTGAAGCTCTGGTCTTGGGAACTTATAACCTTGAAGCTCTGGTCTTGGAAACTTATAACCTTGAAGCCCTGGTCTTGGGAACTCATGACCTTGAAGCCCTGGTCTTGGGAACTCATGACCTTGAAGCCCTGGTCTTGGGAACTCATGACCTTGAAGCCCTGGTCTTGGGAACTCATGACCTTGAAGCCCTGGTCTTGGGAACTCATGACCTTGAAGCTCCTCTTGGCTCTTGTTCACAGACTCTCACTGTCAGGTACCCCGGTTCCTGTTCCTGTGCCTAGTGGTGGCTGACTCTGTAGTAAAGAGATCTTTCAGGCAGGTACATTCTCTCTAGAATATTACATCTCAAGCTGGAAAGCAACAGCCTTGCACGTGATGTTCAAACCTGCCAGCCTGAGATTCATAGCTTGATGCCATTCCTGCCTCCCAGGGCCTTATCAACCCCCAGCCTCCCGAGAGTCTGGCCTCCTTCTTGCCTTCCTTCCTCTTTCCTTATTTTTTTTTTTTTTCTGAGACAGAGTCTTGTTACACAGCTCAAGCCTAAACTTCCCACCTGCTGCCTCTCTCTGCATCCCGGGTGCTGGGATTTCAGGCAGGTGCTGTTGTGCCCAGGTAACGTCACATCTTCCAGGAGAAACTAAAGGTTCTGTCTACAGGGGCCCAGGAGCTGGCGAAGAAGAGAAGGGTGCTTTTGTGTGTGTGTGTGTGTGTGTGTGTTTGAGACAGGGACTCGTTCTTTAGAACAGGCTGGCCCTGAACTCATTATTTATCACGATTGGCCTTGACTTCATGGTAACTGTCCAGCCTCAGCATCCTGAGTGTGGGGGTGGCGGGCGTGGTCCACTAGGCCCTTAAGAGAGCCAGTGGTATTGTGGGAAGTGGCCCAAAGACTGGAAATCATCCTGAAGCAGAACTGTCCTGGGCTCTGCAGGTAGTAGAGCTGGGGAGGAATAATGGGCACAACCAATAATGACTCATCTCTGGATGCTTCCCCGGGAGGGGAAGGGAGTGCCAAATGCCTCACCTAAAGCTGTGAGGACTAAAAGCCTTGCACTTTTGCTGGGCAGGGAGTCCTCTGGGAAGAGAGCACTCTGGGCAGGGAGCCCTCTGGGAAGGGAGCATTCTGGGAAAGGGAGCATTCTGGGAAAAAGAGCATTCTGGGCAAGGAGCATTCTGGGCTTGTAGAAAGTGCAGCTGCCTAAGTGGTGTTTTCTCCTTACCAGCTGTGTGGCTGCTCTGGCTGGTTAATGAGCACGTGGGTAGGAGCCCCTTCTTGGCCCCTGCAATGCCTACCCTGGAGCTAATCATTCCTCAAATGAGAGACAACGTGAGACCTGAGGTTCCAGACGAACACAGACTCTGATTTCCCACCTACTTTACTACGCAGAGGAGAAGGCTCAGCCTTAGAGATCATTTTGGAGCAGACACCCAATTTATTTTTGGGTAAACTAAGACTCAGGAGAAAGAGAGAGCTGGGGCAGCTGGCGGAGCAGAGGGGTGGTAACACGAGCCTTCTGACCGTAGCCAGGACTCTGACACCACACCTCTTCCCCAGGCTACTCTCTGGAAAAGGCTGATCCTCCCAAAGCGTAGGAAACTGCCCTCAGGTGCACTGCGCTCGGGGTGGCCCTGCAGCCAGGCTCTTTCTCCCTGCCCTGGTACCTGCCCCTCATCTGTGTTGTGACTCCTACCGTCTCCTTTTACCTCTCACTCAGGAGTCCTTGAAGCGGCTGGATAGGAGAACAGATTCTAGCTTGAAATAAAGCAAAAGAAAGCATGCCTCCGCACTTCCTCTCACTAAAACAGATTAGCTTTAAATTTATTAAAACATTCTTTTGTCAGCGCTTGTTTAAATCCTGGAACTATGTTTGCATGGAAAGTGCTCCATAAAAGGAAAACAGAGAGAGAGGCATCTGCTTTCTCCTCCCTTAGCACCTGCAGGGCGCAGCCATGCACGTGCAAAGGGTATCAAGAACCAGGGCCCTTCCAAAGCTTGTGGGACCCCCCTCCAGCTCCATCACCGCCTGCGTGCCAGCCTCCCCAACGGGTCCTGGCACCTTAACACTTAAGCACGGTTCAAACCCTGCCACGTGCTGCTTGCTCTGTGCCCTGAGCCTTGACTAACAACAACTCGCTGGCTTCTTCTGCCTGCTTCTCCACTCTCTAGACCTCGGACAGGGAGGCCTTTCCAACGCAAGGGGCGACGGGTAGGGTCAGAACAAGGCTCAACCACACACTGCTTACCAGGGTGCAGAATCCTCCCAGTGGGTGTTCGACCTCTCTAAACAGTTGACTGTCCTCCATTTCAGCCACTTTTTAGATCTGATACTTAGAGCCATGCTATTGGACTCGAGGGAAGTTTAAGGAGAAGGATCAAAATCAGTGAGCAGAACTCAACCTCCAGTACGCACGATAATCACACTGCAGCGGAGAGTAGAAGCCTGGTCTCGCATGGCTAGCTAGCATCTGCTCCTGAGCTGCACCCCAGCCCACGAGTCTGCATCTTAAGACACCAGGTGGCCTTAGGAGGGGGTGTGGAGCACACTCTGCGAAAGGGTACTGTTGAGCCTCACACTTTGTGAAGTCCCTTCACAAAACTAAGCACAGTCCTTGCCACACAGCAGTTCTACAAGGAAATAACTGGCATTATTGCTACGTGTGGGCAGAAATGTTGAGGCCGAGAGAGGTCAGTTGGCTTGCCCTGAGTCACACTGCAAATACATTCTGCCACTAATTGAACGCCAGAGTACATTCGCCTTTGTTGACTCCTCGGGACACAACACCTCTCGTGGTTAATTATTTGTACCCTTGCCACACCCGTGCTGTGGCTGGGACCTGGGGTCTCTGGCACGAGCGTGTGCTCTATCATGGAGCCACACCCATTTCCGTAATTACTTTTTATTGATATATAACACATATTCAGAAGAGACTGTTTTCATCTCTCCTTGAGGAGTTTGAGGTTGGGGATATGAGCGTCTTAAGCTCATACATTGTGGGAACAGGGGGAGGCAGGCCTTGAATCTAGATTCCAGGGCTAGCTTTCATGCTTAGAAACAAATTAGACGCTTCCCGCTGTTCCCAGTAGTCCTGGTTCATAAGGCATAAACATGGGATGGACTGCATGAACATATGAAGGATGAAAGTGACTACTGAGTAACTGCTCTCAGGGAAACACAAGGTGAGTTTCTTGGCAGTCTCTGGTTACATTTTCCTCAACCAATGACTCTATCCCCAAATGCATATTGACGGTCGTAGGTATATTTCTGTGGGAGGCTGCGAGACTGCATCTGCCTGGCTCAGTCACTCACGCTGTCCTCATCTCCCCCAACACCAGAGCCATCAGGAAGCTTTAAAACTCCACTTCCCAGGACAGACGGAACTTCCACAGAAAGAGCGAGGTAACCAGCAGAGAGACTGACAACGCGCCGTGGCACTAGACAGATGGACAATGAAGGGCCGTACAAGAACTCCAACAAGGTGGAGCTGGGAAGTGCGCATGCCAGTCACTCCGTGGTCACCCTTGTCTGTGTGTCTGCGAATAACTGATCCCAGAAGCACCCAGGGCTGGCTTCGGATCTCGAGTGACTTTCAGTGAGTGGGCGAAGCAGGAGAGGGATAACGAGGACTGGCTGGACTGCTCATGGGGTGCAGGCAGTATGTGATAGGGACAGAGCCTGAAGCCCCTTCACTAGCTGCTGCTTTCCAGCCCCAGGGGCGGACGTAGGCAGGAGCCGCCTCACTGGCTTCTGTAGGCCTTACTACCCTGGTCACGGCCCTCCCTTTGCCGTTTAATGGCAGAGGGTTCAGCACTGTCTCAGAATCAGGCTGCTCAGAATTCCTGACCCCTAAGCTCATGTGGTCTGGTGGGTAACCTCTCTCTCTCTCTCTCTCTCTCTCTCTCTCTCTCTCTCTCTCTCTCTCTCTCTGTGTGTGTGTGTGCCATTGTAGATCAGCTATAACAAATTAACGAAAACATCCTAGTTCCTCTCTGCCCTTGGGCCCACCTTCATGCTACCTGCCTCCTCGTTCAGGGCACTGGTAAAATCTGAGTCAGAGAGAAGCACAAAGCAGAGCTAATCCTGGCCTCTGAGTCAACAGCTGGGCAGGACCCTCCTGGCAGTGCCAGGGTTAACGCTGTGACCTCCTTAAAGCTGCTGAGGAGTCAGGGCTAATTTTACTCTCCTATCAGCTCTGCCAATCCCCGTTTTTGCCCAAGTGCTGAGATATGTTGGGAAGCACCCAGTCAGCACTTCTGCTGGCCCCGGAGGCAGCACGGGCCCTGCTTTATGCAGAATGCAAAAAAAACCCAGCATCGGCTTGCTGCTTGGCTCTGGAGTCAGGCCCTGAGAGCTCTGGGGGCAACACCCCAGCTGGTGCTGTGCGCAGGGCGAGGGGGCTGTGATGCTTCCTTGCTCCCGGCTGTCTCCCACCCCGATGCGTCTTGTACTGAGCTGCACCGAGCTGAGCACAATGAAGGGCCTCGGGGCAGCTCAGTACAGGACCCCTCAGGGAGGGTAACGTCAGAGCAGGCTGCCAAAGCTCTCAGTGCTGCCGCCTGCTGGAGAGCTTCGTTTCATACCCTGGCCCACCCCTCCTTGGCCCACTGCCATGGCGCATGCCCACCACACAGCAGTGCAGGCCCTAGCCACGAAGACCCTCCTGACTTTCAGAGAATCCCACCCACACCCTGAACCCTGTTATAGCTCTTTCTTAGACATCAAGGGAGCGGCCTTGTTCACAGCGCAGAAGAGAATTGAAGCTACGGCAGGCTAGGACGCCGGCGGGGCTTAATTTTGACCTGGTATATTTTCTGGCCACACACAGTGAGGCACACCTCAGGCTTGACAGTGTACCTTGTGCTCTGCAATGTCCTGGTCACCAACTCTAGAGCCCGCTGCTTGGTTTCTAAGAGGAATACCAAGGTTGTTCACACTTCAAAGCGCTATTTAAAAATTATTCAGGGGTGGTGGCACGTGCCTTCAATTCCAGCACAGAGGTAACTGGAGCTCTGTGGGTTAGAGGCCAGCCTGGTCGACGCAGCAAGTCCCAGGGCTCTCTAGAGAGGCCCTATTTAAAAATAAATTGGATAGGGGTTGAAGGTGTGGTTCAGAGGCAGAATCCATACCTAGAATCCATGAGACTCTGGGCTCCATCCCTAACACAGCCAAAAGAAGACAAAAGAAAATACAAACAAGCAAAATCAAACCAAGCCCCTGAATGTGTGTACTCTCCTGCAGACCTGTGTCAAATGAGATGCTTGAGGAGGAAGTTGGGGGTGGGGGGCAGAGACTAGTTTGGGGTGTGGGAATCTGAGAGTCGGGTTGTGGCGCTCAATTGTGCTAATGCAAGGAATGGGCTGGGGCGGGGGGGGGGGAAGGAAGCAGTTACTTCATCAAGGACCATGCTAGGGAACGACAAGAAAGCCGCTGTTACCTCCCAAGGGGCTACTCGAGGAGAGATCACTGTTTGCCCCTTTTCAGGCTGGCCCGCTTCACTATCTGAGCCCCCTTCCTGCCTTCTAGCAGGTCCGGCTGTAGTCCACTCCCTCTTAGCTCCACCTGGAGGCAGCATCAGAGACAGAAGAAAGAAGGAATCACACAGGCAGACGAGGGAAAACAGGCAGATGATGGAAAGGGACAGGGAGGAGGAGGTGGGGACACTGTCCACCGGAAAGGCAGCCAAAGGGCAGCGCGTGCAGACCGGAGCAAAGTAGAGGTGCGGTAGAGGTGAGCTTGCTGCGGCCGCCAGGGGGCCTGCAGCTTCTCAGTACCTTAGTAAGTTTCCTAAAGGACTCAATATCAGCTTCCAGATCCCCAGGGTCCACTAGGGGCCCCTCAACAATCACCTCCTCGTGCTGCTGGGTGTCGATGGCACCGGAGGAGTCTACCTGCCGAACGACTTTGCGAATGATCTGAAAGAGAGGGGGAGAGGAGGAGGGCTGGTCAAACCACCAGGACACAGTGTGAGGCAGATGAGGCCCCGGCAGTGACATCAGGAAGAGAAGCAATGGCCTCTTGTCCCTTGGGGTCCAAGAAGAAACTTTTCTCTACTGTCATTTAAGGGGACCGTTAGGGGAGCTTGAATGTGGGGAATGAGCACTGTGGGCATGTTTCCTCGACCGCTGGCTCGGCCACGTGCAATGCCTCCTTAGCCTCCAGCATTCCACTCTGTTTCTTAGGATAGAAGCTGGTGCTGGCCCATCCTATCTCTCCAGTGCCTAAGGGCACAGGCAGTCCCTTTTCTAATCTGTGTGGCTGTCCCACTCACCTGCACCATACTCATGTATCCAGAATTGGAGATGAACATAAAACATGGCTCAGGCCCTTAGGAAGGGGCCAGGACGGATGGGGCTGTGGCCCCCTATGTGAGCGGCAGCCCTGGTGAAACATACATGCACCCTCTCCTGCTTTCTTCCTTGCCGGGTAATGCGAACCTATCGAGCTGACTGATGCATGCCATCAGCCCAGTAAGTTTCTACAGCCTTGCTGCTGAGGGAGGCCTTGGGAACAGCTCCTTGTTCTCCACCAGCTCATCTCAGGGTCGACCTCACAGGCCTCAGGCTGTATGTTTCACAGGAGCTGATCCTTCTGGAATAGGGAAGCTGGAACTATTCACGCTGACTTAAGCCTTGAGGTTACAAGCCCCCCCCTCCATGTCCCGACCACAGGGGACCTGAAGGTCTCAGCTCTCCTGAGTTACTCCGAATCACCAATGTGTCGGGCCACAGCCTGCCTACCCCATCAGGGCAGCAGTAAGAAGCGGGTGTACACTGGGCCCCCCCCCCCCCAGTTTAAGCTTCCAGTCCCACCAGTTTCTCCCCAACTTAGAGGCTCTACACTCACCTTCTTGGTGACAATGTTGCCCTGTTCGTCTGTGAATTGTTCCTCCGTCACCTGCTCTCCTGGAATATTCTGGAGCTCATCCCCCTGGAGTCAGAAGAAGGGAAAGACCCAAATTGGTAAGTGGGATTTTTTGAAGAAGAGCAGGAGATGAGGAACTAGAAAAGCCGCGGCAGCAACAGCCGTGTCCAGTAAAGCCCGGAGCTCAGCAAGTAGCCCCAGACAAACTAGGGCTCCCACGGCATTGCAGCACCCTGTGGGGCCATGAGCCCTGAGGCAGGCTGGGGCCAGAGCTCCCAAGAGCTCTATGTGCTTGATATTGCAATGGTAGCAATACAGGGCGGTTATGAAAGTTCCTGAAGGCCCCCCAAGAGACGTATGGGAGAGAATGCCCCGGACATCACTGCCCTGGAGGTGACTTGAATTCCAAAGTTGGCAACAGAAACACAATAAGAGCAGAAGCCCTAAGCCCCAGAGCGGAGTGTCTCTACTTCTTAATGCTGGGCACTGGGGTGGTTCTGAGCGGGCGCCTAAGCATCTGTGGTTCCCAGAACGCAAAGAGGTCTTCCTGGTCTCATCTGCCTGTCCTGTCTCCTGGTGTGAGTCGCACTCTCTCAGCCTCACCCTGTGCACGCATTAGAGAGTCCCCGCTGACTGTCTGTCCTGCCGCACCCTAGGTCCAGCCCCCTGTCCTGCCGCTTGCCTGGTGTTACCTTCAGGAAGACCCGTCGGCGGACCACTCTGGTGGAGATGGTCTCCTCGTCGTCACTCAGGCCCTCACTCTCCCCCAGCTCCTTGTCCAGCTCCTGGTGAATGTGCTTCAGCACAAAGCACAGGGAGCCCTTGACAATGTGCATCACATTCTGGCAGCTGACTAGGAAGAAGCCCAGCAATACCAGAGTGACCAGGAGCTGGGTGATGAAGGTCCACATCCTCCTCTCGTCCCTCTCCTTACCAGCCTGGCCCTCCAGGGACCAGGGACACCAGGGGCCCAGCTGCTGTGGAGATCCAATTTCTCATTCTCCTCTTGGACTCCCGAGGCCCCCAGCAACCCCTTCCGTTCTGTCTCTGCCTCTCTTTGCTCTTTATCCCTTATTCTAAACAGGAGACCAAACGATCTCTCCCGAGTGCCTCTCTTAGCTGGGACAGCATGACCCAAGTGTCCTTCCTGCCAAACAGCCTGGGATCTCTCCTCACACCCCGGAGGACGTCAGCCTTCTATAATTTTAGCTCTCAAGGCAGCTGCTGCTGTCCAACAGGGATGAAGTGGGAAAACAGGTGCCGTGCCTGGGGCTCGGAAGCGCATGGCAGAGTCACCATGGAGAGGGAAACCAGGCTTGCCTTTGGGAGCCAGAGGGACTCCATAAGTCAAGGTGCCTCAAGAATGCGGCTACTTTTGTGTCTCCATGGGTAGCTGTTTCTGTGTCTACGTGAAAAGATTAAGTAAACTAAAGAGGTTTCCCAATTCTATCACCCGGAACGGCTTCACTTCAGTAGGAAAATGCTTGGAAATACCAAATCCCCATACAAAATCACTGCAGGCTGAAGGAGAACACTTCATTATAGCTGAGCTAAGAAGAATCTAGGCTGGAGGATAATGGTGGACTGTAACAGTGATGGAATGGTTTGTGGACTATGCCTGAGCCCTGTGTGATTGATCCTAGCATGCACACTCATGACTACACACAGACACACACAGACACACACAGACACACACACACACACGCAGGCACACACCAGTTCAACTTTGGATATCTCCTATTTCCACCCTGTTCCTCGAAGAATTAGTTAGGTTATAGTCATTTTGAGTTCTACGAATTCCAAATGACAGAGAAGGTTAATGAAAGTGCTAGGAAATAGGAGTTTGAAAACTATTTCCTTCGAAGGTTCATCATCATATCCCTGGGGCCCGTCAGACATCTATGGAAGTAACCAGCCTAAATATCCAGTAGTTTCCACAACAGCGAGGCAACATTTCTAAGCTGGGCGTGTGGCCCCATGCACTCATTCTGGTCACAAGAGTGTGGGACGAGGAACTGAGGGATCTGGATACGCCCAGCTCCAGTTCACCGTGGGAGCCTGAAGAAAGCCCTTAGTTGCTTGTTTATGCTTTGCTCCTTATAATGCAGGAGTCGGATGGACGGTCTATACCTAGAAGCATTCTCCCTGCGGTACTCTCTGCTCCTCAGCGTCTCTCCTCCAAGGGAGCAGATGAAGCAACACGAAAGACTGTGCTTGGCTTTCCCCCTGGGGATTCAGAGCCATCTCAGTGACCATCACCCGTGTTTGAGCAGAGCTGTAGTTCTTGGGAGAAACAGGAGCAGGTGGCCAGGGACAGCTAGTAGGGAAGGAATGCACTGGGGGGCGGGGCCTGTGGTTTAAAGACCGGCAGGCTGCCTAGCCTGGAGCAGTGCACACACTTGGCAGGCAGGCTTTCTAAATCAAATTCCATGTGATTCCTAGCAGTGTGCGCAGCATCTCAGAAACTCGGGCGAACCAAACTGTCTTTGGAGTTCCTGAAGGTGCTGTGTGGCGGGGGGGGGGGGGGGGGGGGGGGGGGGGGGGGGGGGGGGGGGGGGGGGGGGGGGGGGGGGGGGGGGGGGGGGGGTAGGGAAGAGAAGAAAAGAGAGGAGCAAAGGCGGGAACAAGGGAAGGTGGACTGGGGAAACGTGATGCTGGCTGAGGATACTGTACTGGGTAACAAGAGCCCGCGGGTCACGTGCATGCTATAAATACCTGTTCCAGATTGGCAATGCAAACTCAGCAAGAACACACAAACCAGAAGGCCTATGTTCAAAAGATGCTTGGAATTTGTTCAAAATAGTATGCGGGAAGGAGAGAGAGTAAGGTTGTTGGTCATGACTGCGTAGCTGTGGGACCTGAGAGTGGAGAAGGAGGGGGTGCGACAGAAGACAAAAAATAGGTAAAAAAAAAATCAAAGAGGATGGGAAGGAGGGGTTAAGAGAGAGACAGGAGGAGGCAGGAAGGCTGGAGAGAGAGAGAGCTCTGAATGACAGGAGCTGGGGAGAAGGGAGTTATTGCTACCCTACCACACTTCAGAACCCAGAATCCACCTAGAGTCAGAGAAATCAGGATGCTGGAGGTAGTCCAGTCTCTGTTTCTGCCATCAACTGGGACACTGAGGTTCTGAAAAGACAGCAGAGCTGAAAGAGTGACTCCTATGTGGCCACCAGAGTTCTTAACACACGGTTCTCTCAGTCCCAGGTTCTCTCTAGAGTGTGGAGGACATAGCCAGGAGTTGGGGTACACACCCGCGGTCTCAGCACTTGGGAGGCCGAGGCACCCCAGGCTACACAGTGCTTCCAAACCACAGCAAACAGACAAAAACCACGGCTTTATGTCACCCAGAAAGTTCCATTATCCCTCTGGACAAGCGAGGCCTACAGCAAGCTGGCCGGTCACTTTGACATCAGTAGTCGAGAGAGCGAGCATGGAATGCCTGCCGGATGGGTGGTAACTGGTTCATGAGTCCTTCTCTTCCAAAGGAATGAGGACCCTAAGAGAGACTTACATAGATCTAATCTACATGGGAAGTAGAAAAGGACAAGATCTCCTGAGTAAATTGGGAGCATGGGGACCTTGGAGAGGGCTGAAGGGGGGAGGGGAGAGGCAGGAAGGGGAGCAGAGAAAAATGTAGAGCTCAATAAAAATCAATTTTAAAAAAGAGTGTGAAAGGATAGAGAGTGAGGGCACCACCAGGAAACATGCCTGGGTTTGGCCCGAGTCATGAGCTTCTAAAAGCTAGAAGGAACAGGAGGAACCGTGAGGGCACTCGGCAGGTAAATGTGTGTGCTGTGCCAGCCTGGTAACTTGAGTTCCACCACCAGAACTCTTGTAAAGGTGGAAGGAGAGGAGACTGACTCTTAAAATGTTGTCTTCTGACCTCTACATACATGACGTGGCACACGTGCCTACCCCTACATACGCATGTACAGGGAAGCACATCTCCACCCTAAATAAAAAGTAAACGAATAAAAGAACAAGGAGGTGTGCTCACCTGTCCTTTCTGAGAGAAGGTGCTCTCAGATGCCCACAGGCTTGGCTCCTTGGCAGCCTGGGGGCTGTCGGTCTCGGGTGGCCCCCTCTGCACATGCTCTCTTGTAGACACCTGCTCATATTCCTGAAGCGCACCGGGCTCCAGCCCTTGGGTGGTGGTGATCTTTCTCTGGACTGAGTGTGAGCCTTGTGTGACCTCCTCTTGCCAGGAAGTTTGTGCAGCTTCTTGCGGATGGGGCGCCGTGGAGCCCTGTGTATCCCAGTCCAGGGTTCTAGGGTCCGGGACAGGTGATAGATGGCCAGGGAGAGAGAAAGGACAACGGTTCACCTTCAGGCTCAGCTCTCAGATATACCCCCCGCGCCCCTGAACCTTGGCTCAGCTAGGATACAGCCTGTACTGTCCTCTGCCCTCTCACACAGGCACAGCCATGCTCCAGAACATTGCAATCGACTTCACAGCCTATGCCCTGATGAACACTTGACTCCAGTACACACGCGCTCCCCCTTCCGTTCTTTGCAGTCATCTTATTCTGTCACCTTATCTACAATTTCAGCCACTTTCCTTTACACACACACACACACACACACACACACACACACACACACACACTTTGTACCCCGCTTTCCTGCTTTGCTTTTCTGTTCGTTCACCACTTGTAATCATCCAGGAAGATTTCTATTTGTCGGTTATTATTACTTTTTATTTAAATTTTTCTACTTTCCCCATTTTCATGCATATATGTTATGCATGCGTGTGTATACATACGCATGTGTGTATGGCTGCTCACATATGTATGTGTGTGCATGTGCCTCTTAGAGGCCTGCCTGAGACTGATATTGGGACCCATCCTCCCTTGCTCTTCCACCCTATTAACTGAGGCAAGTTTTCTCAGTCATACCCAGGGTTTTCTGATATGGCCAGTTTAGCTAGCCAGCTGCGGGATCCCCCTGTATCCACCTTCCATGGCTAGAATTACATCCAACACTTATGTGGGTTCTGGGGAGTCAAACTCTGGTCCTCATGTTGGTGCGAATGGCTCTTAAGCGTTGAGTCATCTCCCTGGCCACTGAACTTTCAGTTTTAGTAGTAGTTATCCCTTACTAGCCAAGAGGAGCTGTTTCTATGACCCCCATGATACCAAAATGCACGGATGCTCAAGTTTCCTATGTGAGAGGGCATGGAACACACACACCCCCTCCTCCATACTTTAGGTCACCCGGAGACGACTTATAATTCCCAACAGGAGGGAAATGCTGGGTAAATGGTTGCTATACTGCACTGTTGAGGGGGCACCGAGAAACACCTGCGCGTGTTCACCGCAGCTGCCGTTTATTTGCTCCATGGCTGGTAGAAGCCTTGGGTTTGGAAACCATGATTACGAAGCCATGGAGACTTCAAAGGCCAGCTTTAGCGCTGGCTTGATTGACATTATCTTGTTGCCTCCCAGTCTCCCCGCTAGAACATTCCTGCAGGCAAACATTTCCCTGATTTCTTCCCTGGCACACGGTGAATGCTCGGTACACATGGGTAAGTGAGTGAGAGACTGAGATGGACCGGTCTACACTGGATGACTGACCAAGGCCACACAGCCAGGAAACGATCCAGCAGGGTCAGAGCCCGCCTTCAGGGAGCCAGCCTGCCGCTCTAACAGAGCAGTGGCCAGCAGAGAGGAGGTGCTGGGTGTGACCCTCACAGGCTCAGTCCATCGAAGTCTCCCCACTAATCAAAGGCTTTCTTTAGGAACTGAAATGAATTATCTGCCATCTCCTCATGTAAACCATTGTGGGAGGAAAAATGGTCCTTCTGAGAGCGCCCCAGGGATGGTGCTGGAGGCTTCAGGGCAGTGAGGAGACAGCGGCTCCCTGGCATGGCCAACGCCGAGCCAACTGGGTGGGTACTGCCTGCTAGGATCCTAGGAACCACTTTGCTTTAGAAAGACTCATAAGCAAAGGGACCTCAAAGAAAAGGGCCTCAACACCAGAACAGGGAGGGACACTCGGCTCACTCCTGCATTTCTTCTGCCAGCTCCGAGCTTTTGTCTGCACTTAGCACAGTGCTGGGCTCTGTCCCGCAGAGATATAGAAGTGCTCTAAGGTGTCAGGAATCCAGAAACGCTGAGCCCCCGTGCCGTGGTGTAGCCACACTTCCAACAGGGCATCTCCTAGGCACACGTCCCAGACCCTCTGCATTTCTCCTGCTGGGCACAACTGGCAGGGAACTGGCCTTTGTGGGTCACGGCTCCTTCCTGACGGTGGTGGCTTCAGAGGCATTCATGTTTAATTGCTACCGGGCATTTAGAATCCAAGCCCAGCACCAGGAATGGTCAGACCCAAAGCCCAGGAAGACAGGGGGACCCATTGACCAGCCCTTACCTGGCCTGGCTTCTGTCCAGCACCTGCCTCACTGAGGGTGAGTCTGTGATTCGGGCGTGAACTCGCTGCTGGCCTGAAACAAGAGACACTTCAGTCTCTGTGTCCTGCTCTGTGCCTGAGACCTCCTGCCTCTTCTTTTCTGACCTCTGACCTTCCTCCTGACCTAGCAAATCAGCCAGGCCATTTGTGGCATCTGAATCCACTGTGTCGTCCTCCACCAGCTCCTGAGAGCCCAGCTCCGGGCCCTGCGGTTCCTCTGAGAGTGCCCCCTCCAACTTCCACTCTTGCGTGGCGTCAGAGTCCTCGGCCTTGCTGCACTCCAGGGAGGAGTCCTCAGCAGTGACCAGGGACGGGGTGAGGCCCGCAGACCACACCTGCATGTCAGACATCTCCAGCATGGTGTCATGCTCCGTGGCCGCCAGGGGGATGGCGTCTATGACAGCCACTTCGTTCCAGTACTGGTCTGCACACAGCGGAGAGGGAAGTGCGTAGTGCAGGGAGGCAGGGGACAGCAGCTCGTCCTGCAGCGAGGAGTAACCTGGAAGGGCAGACAGAGGGCAACATGCTCCAGAAGCGATTTTTGTCACACACACTCACGTGCAGGACCACACACACTTACACACAGGCACGGCCACAGACAGGCATGCACATTCAGGGCAGGGGCTTTCTAAGCTCCAAGTCCAAAGCTCAGGCCTTGTGGCTAATGCCGGGACACCCTGGCAAGAGAAACGAGGCTCTGAGCTGGATGGGGGCAGCCAAGGGGTGAGGGTAAAGAGGGGGGGGGGCTCCTTTGCTGGAGGGCAAAGAAACGTGATTGAAATTCGTTCTTATCCAGCTCTGAGCACTAGATAAGGGAGGCTTTAGCCAAAGGACTTGTGCCCCGATCTGTCCGGATCGATCACACGAAAGCCCCAGTCTCCGCGGCTGGCGGAGTCACGGATGATCTAGGCTCAGTCTTCCGAGTCCTGTTAGGAATGTACCTTGGGGGGGAGAGTGCAGCCCACCCAGGATCAGGGTCAGTAACGAGGCTGCCCTGGAGGGGGTCTGACAGGGTACACTGAACATCCACAGACCTCAGTGCGGTGGTCAAGTGGGAAACAGGCTTCTGGGTAGGCATGAAGTGACTTTTCCTCAAGGTGCATATTGGTTCCACAAACTCTGAATGATCTACAGTGGCACAGGTGAGGGTTCTAAGGGGTCAAAAATGGCGCAAGGTCAGAGGGCACCGTGGGTTCCAGTACACCTGCCCGCAGGGCTTCCTCTATAGGCCCTGAGCTATCCACCCAGCTCTGGCTCAGCAGGGACCCGGCACAGCCTGGAATCTGCAGCCTGCTCCCATTCCTGCCCCTTGCTCGGGAAATGTGTTCTTGTCGGTGTCTGGATGGCTTGGACGCTGGCTCTCTGGTGTTAGGAAGTGACTGTGACTGGGTTAAGAAGCGTGGCTGCTGCTCGTGGGGGGTTTGTGTGCTGGGTGGATGTCAGAGCTGCCTCAATCCTCCCACATCCAGGAGTCACAGGGGGTCCCTTTGTGCCCAGGAGAGTAGGTGCCAGTCTACAGACAAACTTGTCTGTCTGGTACAGTGTGTTTGAGGAGCCAGGGAACTGGTGTGTGCCTACAGTGGTTAAAGACCCAGGGGAAACAAAGTGTGTGTGTGTGTGTGTGTGTGTGTGCAATGAAGAGGGGCCATGCTATTTCTAGGGACCTTTCATTATCTGGTCCTGTAAGCCTTATGCCCAAACCCTTCAATCAGCCAGCCCCGTCCCAGTACCCACAATCCCTAAACCAGGCTTTTATGTTCATTCTCTCATCTCCATTCTTATTCTTTCTGACCTAGCCTGCCTCTCTCTCAGCTTGGGCACCGGCTCTCCCGTGGCCTCTGCATCTAATAGCACTGTCTCCACTTATCCTCAGCCAAAACATATTCATACACCAGGGTCTGGTTCCATGCCAGGCACTGTGCTAAAGGGCTGGTAAATGCCACACACACACACACACACACACACACACACACTAATTCAATTCAGGTTCTCTTTTTAAACACTGCTTGTAACATGGGTCTCCTGGTAAATACTTTCAGCTTTTACACGTCTGGAAGAATTTTTATTTTTTTGTTTAATTTAGTTTCAAATTTTATTTTGAGACAGGGTCTCCTGTACATGGCTAACCTGGAATTTGCTATATAAATCGAGCTGTGCTGAAAAGCACTACCTTTCTGTCTCCCCGACTGAATGCTAAGATTCCAGTATGCTTGCTTCACTGGGCTTCCCCCCTCTTCCTTACTATACAGCTCAGGTTGGCTTCCAACTTGCTATGCAGTTCATGTTGGCATTGAACTTTCCTCTCTTCCTCTTCTTCTAAGACAGAGTCTCAACCACGGAGCCCTGGCTGGCCTGGCACTTGCTACATAGACCAAACTGGCCTTAAGCACACTGAAGTCTGCCTGCCACTGCCTTTTGGGTGCTGATATCGAAGACATTGCTGCTAATATTACTTTTTCATCTTCCTCCTCCTCTCTATCCCCCTTCTCCTTTTCTCACTCCCCTCCTCTGTTCCCTCTGTCACCACTAGAGAGCGACCCCAAGTCTCACACATTCTAGGTAAACTTTCTAAGCTTCCTCCAAGTCATGTCTGCTCATTCTTCTTTGATGGTGTTTTGCTTCATACTCGTTGGTTTCTTGCTTTTACTGTTTTCTCTGAGTCTATAATGCTTATTTTGGTTTCCTTGTACTGAGTTCCTTTTCATGCCTGCTTTAGACCAATTTGCTTATTGCATACCTCAATATAATTGTCAAAATGCTTCCTCTATATGGAATCCATGATACTATTATATCAACATGTTTATAATTTCCACCAAATCAGAATACGTTCAGCACATATATGTACACATATATATGTACACACACGCACGCACACACACTCACACACACACACGTTTTTGGTCACTGATGATTTTTACATCTTTTCTCTTCCTCCTGTATTTCAACTTGGAGGGTGTCTGTCGACAGAGCCTTCTTTGTGTGGCGAGACAAATGCTGTACTGCTGAATTCCACCTGGTACCATGCTCTGAATAGGAATCGCAGCTGTTCCGACTGTCCTGCCATCTTTGTCCACGCATCTGTTCCCGTCCTTCTTCTTCTGCCCATTACGGAGTCAGTTTTCCTGATTCTGGCGTCTGATCATCTTTAATTAGCTGCCAGACACTGGTAATTTTACCTTTTTGGGTGCTGGATGTTTCCCTTACTCTGCACATCCTTGGCGGCTGTCCTGTTAAGCAGTTTCTTAGGAAAGCAGTTTGATCCCATTGCATTTTGCTTTTGGCATTTCTTAGGCAGGTCTTATGCATTGCTCAAACTCCGGTTAATTATTCCCGTTTCCTGAAGTGTGGTCCTTCTGTAACTAATGTCTGCTCAATTCTCAGCTGAAGTGTGTGGTGACTTCCAAAGGACTCTAGTGTTCTGACTCTTTCTCTCTCTGGTTATTTTGAGACAGGGTTTCTTTCTGTAGCCCTGGCTGTCCCAGAACTCTTTGTGGACCAGGCTGGTCTCGAACTCATAGAGATCCATCTCCTCTGCCTCCCAGGTGTTGGGATTTAAGGCACGTACCACCACTGCCAAGCTGCCTTCTGATTCTTGTTAGATGTTTCTTTCCTAGCCTGCTAACTTGGGGAGTATAGCTGCTTTAGGTTCTGCGACCTCAGCAGCCTCGCCTTAACCCAGGGAGACTACCTGGGTTTCCCTAGAAAAGCAGTTAAAGCTGAATCTGAGCATCAAAGAACTCTCTCCGTCTGTGTCTCATGGACCACTGACTCTTGCTCGCTTCCCCACACCCAGAGTCCTGTAAACTGCTGTCTCATAGAGGGTGCTCCAGTTCTGGGCAGCATCGTTGTAAAGGGGGGCATGTCTAATCCCTGCGACTTGGCCAGAAGCAGCGTACATCATAAACATCATAGCCAGATTGTCATCTACTGTCATTCTATCAGCCTGGGAATCTCACCAGCACCTCAGGATGAAGGTGTTCTGCCTCCCAAACACCAGAGGCTCTGGTACTTGTCTGTAACTCTTCCACCTTGAAGCTTCCACGGTCTTCATCTGAGTGGAAATTCCATCTAAATTAGGTGTGAGTGGAGAAGACACACGTACAGTTTCTCTTCACTGTTACCCCGGATGACTGCCTTCGGGGTGTTTCCTGTTTTCAGACATCGATCCGAGGAGCTCAGCACCGGCAGAGCTGACGTGAGTAGGCGCCACTGTCGGTGTGGGCTGTGGTCCCCGAGGCCTATGTACCCTCCTGAGGGATGTCTCACTAGGTCAGGGGGTAGAAAAGCCCTTGGGAGGATCTACTTCTGACCTACCTAAGTTCAGATGTGCTCATCATTCTAGGACTCTCGCTGTCCTGTCCCATTTGGGTCGCCGGCCCATCTTCTGGTCTAAAAGTCTTGCATTTGAGTCTGACCATGGGAAGATCAGATCGTAGTCACATACAAAAAGGAAGTCAAGGGCCTTCCTTCTCCCTTTCTCCTCCCTCCCTTCCTTCCCTTTCTCACTTTTCCTTCCTTCCTTCCTTCCTTCCTTCCTTCCTTCCTCCCTCCCTCCCTCCCTCCCTCCCTTCTTTCCTTCCTTCACTTCCCTTCCCTTCTTCTTCTTCCTTCCTTATTTTTCTAGAGCATGTATTGATTTCTTTCCATCCTACTGAACAGGCCTCTGCAGGGCAGGGAACAGGTTCTCACGGTGAGAGGAGGACCCTACTCCACTTGCCAGTTTTGAGTGGTTCCACAGGGCCCCAGGGACAGAGTCCTCGCATAGTGACACCTGTGCCTATACTACTTCGCTTTGGCTTCTTGAGTTGAGAAGAGAGTGGGACTCCAGGTGGCCTTTCTCTGCAGCAGGTTCTTGTTGACTGATGTGGACACTTCTAGCCCTTGTCTGTCTCAGAGACCTGGGTCCCCAACTCCTCCATCACAGTCTCCAGCACCAGGCGGCAGGACTTCTGAGGGCTTGAGCCAGCCCAGGAGATTCTTGTTGGGGCAGCTGATGAGCGCTTCCATGCTGTTCTTGACCGACCATGTGAGCACAGAGAGTGGGCCCGTGTTAAGTGCCTCCTCCTTCCACTTCCGTGGCTCCTCTGACGTCATCTCATCCTTAGGGCTAGTGAGGAGGCTCTTGGGGGAGGTTTGGCCCGCAGATCATGCCTGCCTGTATCATGTTGCTTTGGCTTCTTGAGTAGAGTGAGAGCTGGGCGGGACTCCAGGTGGCCTTAGGTGGCTTTTCTTCTTAGTAGGCTATTGTCCTGGGTCTGTACTAACTCAAACACAGTAAATCATCCTCTTAGTTCAATGTTCGTAGCCGACAAAAGCTATGACCAGGTAACCTGGTCCCCGGCAGGAGTCACACTTCACTAGCCGTATCATCGAACGCTGATATAAATAAGTACATTTTGTTTCCAACTAGACAAAATATGTCTCATCAAGACAGATGGAGCTGATGGATACAAGACGTCTGCTTTTTCTTTCCTTATGAGAAATGTCTTATTTTTAGATGCCTTGGGTTATTTTTGTTCTTTGTTGTTGTTTTTCTTACAGGCATTTTTTTTCTTTGTGCTTATTCCGCGGGCCTGGGTGGTCCCCTCTTATGGAGGAGAACCAACCTTTTGGCCAGGTCTCCTTTCCCACAACAATGCAGGTGTGTATGTCAGGAAAAGCTGTGGCGGGAGGCGAGTCCTCTCAAATAAGGACCCCACCCCTGCCCTGCACTCTTTCTGCAGGCACTGACCTGAGCCCCTGGGACCTCAGATAGAACAAGCGGAGGAGTGAGGCAAAGCACTTAGAAACTGTGGTGATGGTGACATCGTAACATGTAGGGTTCGGCTGGCACCGGGAGAGGCACCATGTGTCCCTGTTAGAGGACACCCAGAGAAGGTAGAGGAGGCTGGTGCCTCTTCCTCCCTGCACGTCTGATCCCCTGCATCCTTTCATTTCTGACCACAAGGATAAATGTGGGACAGGGACGAGGGTGCGACAACAATACACCAGCCAATCCTGGTGCCTAGGAGGCCGAGAGGTTCAGGCCGAGGATCAGTTTATGATATTTGCCCCCTCTGAGGGCAACATGCCTTCAGGGTCCAGAGTCTAGGCTCATCTGGAGATCTTTGGGCTTTTTGGGTGCGGGTGCGGGGTTCAGCACGCTGCACAGAGAAGCCAGAAGTGCAGAAGCATCTACACTCAACAAAGCAGAGAAGAATCCTTTGAAGATGTCATTCTGTCGCTCAAACTCCACCCCCACAGAACCCTATGGTCCTCTGACAGTCCTTAGGGGTCAGCTTCCTGGTGCCCCTTAGGCCTCCCGCCTTTTCTCTCCCTACCTCCTACCGCCCCAGCCTCTCTAGTTCCTCGCTATTTATGAATCCACCAGGCATGCCACCCTTCTAGAATGTTCTTTCCTTCTTGTCTACATATGGCTCATTCCCTCATCATCTCTGTGTCTTTGTTCAAACACAGCTATCCTATCCTGTTACTCGGTTCCTTTATTCCGACCTGTTCATCCCCATATCACTGTGAGGCCATATCACATATAAGACATTACATATTCTCACACACATCATGTCATCCATGGGCTCATAACAGAAGGACGATTTCACAAAGGCAGAATCTTGTTTTGCTTTCTTGCCCAAGAACTGACTTCATTCCCCTGCCTACAATGGTGTCTAACATGTATCTGACGCTTGAGAAATATTTGCCAGTTGGACTAGCCCACGACAACAGAGCCCTATCATCAGACACAGAACACACAGACTTGGTCCCGCTCAAGGACTTGGGACTGCTGAGGCATTTACACTCTTCTGGTCTGACTGGAGCCAACATCAGTCCTTCTGACCCTGGAAATTCTAAGGGTCTGCTAGTCCCGTGAATGTTAACTCAATTTAGGGCACTAAAATAATATGCGGATTTAACTTGCTTGAAATAACACAGGCAATATTAAGAAGCCCATGTCACACCCCAAAGCTCCAGTGTTTGGTCACTTGTACTTCCCAAAGCTTACAGATGTTCTCAGCTGCCCATCTTTTTCCTTCTGCAAAGGGGGAGCTGGCCTACTTAGGAGCTCCCCTTTAGGGTTCCAACCAGGTTCCTAGAGGGCAGCTACAATCCCCATAGCTGTAGATGGCTGTTCTGGAACCCTCTGGACCTGAAGAGTGAGAGAAGCGTATGCGTCAGCAGCCACCACAAGACAACACAGACGACACGCCATGCACACGCAACAGATGCCCATGGGGACAGCCATGAGATGCGTGGGGTGGGGCGGAGCTAGGAGTCCTCTGTGACATGCACTCATGAACTCTGACAGCTCTGTCCACTTGGCCAGGTGGAGACAGTGGAGAACAGGAAGTACAAGCAAATGAGTCGTCAGGATGAGGTCAGAGGCAGAGAGAGAGGAGACAGGACATGATCAGTAGATGAGCCCCACGCCTGCTGGGGCCACATGTTTCAGGAGACACAGGACATGAGAGAGAGAATGGGGGAGGTTTGGCATGCACAGGCCCCACCTGACAGAAGGAGGCCCTGTGTCCAGCCTAGTCTAGAACTCACCTGCCCCTGGCTACTCCCTGCTTCCTGGTGGCACCCCAAGCCGTGACTCAGGTGCCCTTGGATCCGATATGTGCATGACTAGGGACAGTCTTTAAAACTACTGGCTTGGGGAGCACTGCTGTCACCCCATAGCTGTCCATAGGGAGGTATGGGGCATCAGAAGAAGACACATCTCACAGCTGACAAGATTTTCAAAGTTAGTAAGCAGCTTGGAATCTAACCCAACTTCTGTAGATGAGGAGATGTCTCTGCCACGCGAGAGCCAGCAGACAGGAAGGACCTAACGTGCAGGCTTCTGGGCCCCCACACTGGACTGAGGGGAAAGTGGGGCCCTGCTCATGTCCACTGGCCAGAGAGAGGGTGGACAAAGAAAAAGGTCTTGGGACCTTCAGGCTCTGCTCCTTCATGGAAGTGCCTGCTTGGCAAAGGTCAGGGCCTCCTGGGCTTCATCTCCTTGAGACGGGCCACACTGGGGCTCCCTGCCATGCTGAACCACACTGAAGAGTGCAGGGGGACAGGTGAGATGAGAAAAAGGGGAGAGAGTGTGACAAGGAAGAGAGACTGGGCTCAAGGAGAGGACACCCTTAGTCCCGAGGGTTCACGGTGGGATTTCAAACAGCATCAAAGGATCCCCGTTAGGCCCTGGGCCAGAGCCTCCCTGCGCCTTGCTTCCTAACCACTGAAAATTCAGGGACCCAGGGCATAGGTCCTCTTGTGCCTTGTGAAACAGAAAGCTTGGAGATTCTAGGGCAAGGACCTAGGCAACTTCTTTCCAGACTCAAATCCTTTCCTGCCATGCCAGGCCCTTCTGGGACCTTTGTTCTGGGGGCTGGTGGTGAGGACCTGGGAACTACTCCCCATGTGGGCACAGAGGTAGACAGCCCTGGAAGGATGCCCACCTGCAGAGGTGGGTGCCACCTGTCTCTCTCACTTGCCTCTACTCTCCCTGGTAGGAGGAGCTCATCGCTGACAACCCTCCCATCAACAGGAGGGAGAGATGGTTTAGGGGAAATGAAGTGTCTTGGGAAGGGGCCTAGGAGGCAGGGCCCCAGCTTGGCCTGGTCTCACAGGAGACTCACCATTCATCTGGGAGGGTGATAATGAATAGTCCCGGTCTCCATGCCGCCGGTCTGGTTTGAGGTTGCGGCTCTGCCTGCCGGAGCCCTCCAGCATGTTAACGATCTCGCTTCTGTCGATGTTCCGCAGGGCCGTGTACAGATTCTCCACTGTCGACAGAGAAGAGAGGAGGCGGCTTAAGGGGCAAGCTCACATGGTTCTAGAGCAACGGGAATGCCGTGCAGACCTAACGGCCATGGGGCAGGAGGAAGTCTGGAGAAGAGAAATAGTTCCCCTTTTTGGCTAACATCTTTTTATACAAAAGGTCTACAGAAAACTCAGAGTGGCAGTTGTGGTTTGGCTTTTTTGTTTTGTTTTGTTTTGTTTCTTTCAACGCTGGGGATGGAGCCCATGGCCTTGTGCATGCTTGGCAAGTGTTCTGGTTCTGTTGAGCACAAACCAGAAACATCTAAAGGTAGGTGTGTGTGTGTGTGTGTGTGAGAGAGAGAGAGAGAGAGAGAGAGAGAGAGAGAGAGAGAGAGAGAGAGCTATAGAGATGTGTGTGTCAGAGAGAGAGAGAGAGAAAGAGAGAGAGAAAGAGAGAGAAAGAGCTAGCTATAGAGATGTGTGTGTGTGTGTGTGTGTGTGTGAGAGAGAGAGAGAGAGAGAGAGAGAGAGAGAGAGAGAGAGAGAAACCAAGATCAAAGACTGTTCTTTTGAAGTCCTGGTCTACATCAGTGGATGTAAGAAGCGGATGGAAGTATCCAGCTACCGCACAGGGCAGGATTTGGAGGAGTTGCTGAGAAAGAGTGAGACACGTCTTTCTCCAGGCAGGAGGAGGGTGTTCCTAAGAGAACGAGAGCTGAAGCCGACCAGGGCAGGCCCGCCTGACTCTGCTCTGAGACAACAGGCCTCACCTGGCTGAGAAACTCAATGGGAATACTTTGAAAACAGGAGTCTTACATCCTATACCATACTATTCTGCGGGGTCCAGGGCAAGTTTTACCTCCCTCTGAGAATGGAAAAGAGCGAGGGCAAGAGCCAGTGGTAATGTGATCTGGTTGCCTAGGAGACCTCAAGACTATGAGAAGTGAGAGAAGGGACGGAGAGGGGAAACCGCAGGTCAGCAGCAGGATTGGAATCGGAAAGGACTCTGGTGAGGATCGGATCTCTCTAGCCCGACAGACAGGCGACTGAATGGTACTGACACTTTGCATTTTCGCCTTCACGGGCCACCCAGAGGGTCAGCAAGGCCGCACTCTGCTCCAACAAGGAGTTGGGGTTTTCTACACGGATCCGGTTGATGTCTTCCACAGTGAACTGCAGCTCCCGGGCCAGCTCTGTAGGCAAAGAACCAAGAGCCAATATGAGTGCTGAGCTTGTCACAGTCCCCATTAAACCTGGGGCTCCTCCCCACCAGGAAAGACGGGGCAGTGAGTGAGAAAATGAAGACGTTTCCTTTCTTCTCGTTTGACTTCACTGAGGAAGTGTTGAGAATGAGCTTCCTCGGGGAACAGGACCAGCTTAGTCCTCAGACTTCGAAGGCACTACAGCTCAGGCCACCTGCAGCCTTGCACAGGTGGCTACTGGCAGTCCTCCAAGAACTGGAGGATAGAAAGGCAGCCCCGTGGTTACTATGGCACCTCCCTCTGCTACTTCTATTGTGACTGCTTCCAGAGGTTTAGAAGGGGAATACTTCAGGGTACTCAAGTATGAGGAAGACTGGAGAGAAGGTGAGTACAAGAACGTGCCTATACAACACACACGCAAGCACACGCACACATACACCGCATATAAGAACACAGACCATATATACTTGCATGCAGCTGTGCACAGGTGCGGTGCACATACTCATGTGTCTATATTCATGGGCATGTATAGACACAGTGCGCCCTTGACACACATACACACATGCACACACCAAGCAGGAATAGAAATAGCATGGAGAACAGGTAGTTCTCGAATTCTGAACTCCCGACACATGTCAGAGAGTTCCCACTGTGGTATCTGAGTCTAGAGCACTGTGGTGAGCGCACACAGGATGGCCATCCACATACAACAAAGAGTGAGAAGAGGCAGCAAGTCCGTTTACAGCGCCCGAGGCCGCATCAACGTGTGGGGCATTGGTCATCTGCCTACCTGCTTCCCTTCCAATACTGTCTGCCCTGTGGTAGCCAGGGAGGACCACAGGCTCAGCTATAGCTAGAGGTGAAAAGGAACATCTGGAGACCTTGCCTTTCCCCCCTTTCCCACAGTAAGCTGACTCTGAGAAAGAAATGAGTAATACTGAGAAGGCAGTAGACACAGACACAAGATACATACATACATACATACATACATACATACATACATACACACATATACATATGCACATATATAAACATACATGCGTATGTACATACACACACATATAAGTTGTCTGTGCCCTAACGTTCATTTGTTTGATTTTCTGTGTTCTGTCATTAGCTACCAACTTGCTTTATGAAGGTGGACCTGCACATTCCCGGCAATAAAGCCAGGTGAACCAATACATCCAGCTTTACACCATGAAGAGCTGGTGTGGATAGATACAAAATCTGATGTTTATTTTCAAAGGTGTCTCAAGCCAGCTTAGGTCCAGCTCATCCGCAAATGCCCAGGAAACACTGGAGCTAATGCCCGCCGGCCTAGTTATTCCCTACCACTCAAACCAGCAGCTGAGAGCAGAAACTTAGTAACCGCCGAGTCTGCCTACGAGACTGTGCACCTTAATTTAAAAGTAGAGATGAACTCAGACAACAGTTTTTGTTGAGAAAAATTCAAATAAATAAATAACAGTAGGAAACATCAAACCCAGGTGGCATGTAAGATTGTTTCCGCCTGATTATTACATAAGGCTCATGACTTAGGATTTCTCAACTCTTGTCTGTGCTCAGCCGGTGCTCCTGATGGCTTAGGCTGATGCTCAACTTGGCGAGGTCATAAAATAAATGGCGTTTCCCCCTGAGTCTCAGTACTCTTACTATAAAGTAAGGACAGTGGTTTTTCTCATTGCTTACAGGGGAAGCAGACAAACGGGGAGGGGGCACGCAGCTTGCTGCCCTGCGCTGGTACCCAAGGCTGTTGCTTATAAAATGGGCCACCACCGACTCATGCACAACGGGTGATGAGGTGAGGGCTGGACACCCTTCACCCTGGCTCACCCAGGAGGAAGGGTCATGGGGTTAGGTAGATGAGGGTTTTTCTTCTTTCTGTCCACATTCCATAACTCACCCGCCCAGCTGAGGCCGAGGTGCTCCGTGATGACCGCCATCTTCATATCTGCACGGTCTGTGTCACTGGCAAAACCTGGGAAGAGTCATTGGATTGCAGTTAGCAGCCGGGGCGGGTTGCAGCATGGATGAGGTTGGCGTGCGGCCCTTACAGAAGGATGCTCAGGTTACACAGGATTTTCAGATTACACTGTCAGGTAGAGACCTAAGGGGAGGGCTTTGTCTGCTGCAGACAAAACAAGATGAATGGACGCCAGGACAGTCCTTGACAGACTGTCTTGTTCTTGTAAGAGCAAGCATATTGGGGTGCTAGGCAAGGGGCTCCTACCCAGCCGGGACTCGCTGAGGATGCTATATCGAAGGGAAAGGGGTGTCAGGGTCCTCCTCCTGTCTTCTGCTCCACTGCCCTGCAGAAGACAAAGAAAGGGTACGATGGATTTTGGGTGTACTCCCTCTTAAAGAAGTTGATACAAGCGCTCATACTTTGGCAAAGGGGCATAGTGGTCCATGGCCCGAGAGAGAAAATGCCTGGAAAGAGGTGGGGGTGAAGGGAGGCTGCGATACTCAAATACTTCATGAATAATATCCATAATGGCAGACCCAAGGAGCCATTACCATGTAAGCAGCTCTATTCTATACACACAGCTATCTGTGAAGCAGGTAGGTACAATTCTAGCTTCGATTTCATTGGTGAGGAAACCGAGGTGTAGAGAGTAACTTGCACAAGATCTCCCATTAGAGACCGATTTTGAATCCAAACTCAGCTTTTCCTTCCGGATTCTCTTTTGCTCAGTGGCTCATTCCTGACTCACACTGGCCTAAGGTTTAACACCAGGGCCTGTTTGTAGGCACTGGCAACTCCATCTGAGAGAGAAATGGGTTCATTTCTCTCATCCCCGGAAAGAAAAGAGAAATCGAGCCACATTTTTGAAGGTGACCTTGTTTCTCTTCTAGGTGTCCACAGAAGGCTAATGCCTCATACAACAGCACAGTAGCCCTGACAGAAACAAGGAGACATCCTGAGGGTGGAGTTGCTCCAAAGGTCCGATCTGCGCCATGATTCTCTTTTAGGGACCAGAAAGAGTCCATTGGTCCAGACTCCTTGAGTGAGCATGGAAACGTGGGTTTTGACAGTGGCTGGGCACACCAGGGTCCCCTTGTTCGAGGGGAAAGATGGGCAAATAAATGGAAAAGAGACTTAACAACTTCTGTCTATGAGTAACTGATCTTGGACAAGTCCCCATTCAGCTGTAAGTATCAGAGGCCTCAAGAACAGCAGGGGGCTCTGTCTTCCCCGTTCTAGGGAGGCTGGACGTCCATATGAACAGCTCTGTCGGTGCCTGGCCCTGACATCTGCTCCTCACATCACATGACTAGGCTTTCTAGACTTTCCAGGGCAAGATTTCTCTCCCTAGTCACAAAACACATGTCCATAGCAGTGCAAGAACCCTAGGGAGCCTGGGGATTAAAGTTAGCGATTCAGAACGAGGAAAAGAAGCCTTTGGATGTCTGCATGTTCTGGGGACTTTGAAGGGACATTGGTGGATGGCAGCTCACCTTGGTACAGGGCGGCATGGTGATATTCAGGTGGCAGAGGATGTGCTGTGCGTCCTCGTACTTCATCGCCTTTCGCAGGAACGACAAGAACCCTCCCGGTTCACGGCTGCTGTCCCTCACCTAGATTCAATTACACACAGGGAGCTTTAGCAGGACCCTTTATGCCTCCTAGACCGGTGTCCTCAGGGCTTCCTGCCACCCAAACTCCTAGACCAAGGAAAGAGGGTGGCCATAGGAGGCCAGCACCTTCACAGGGATGGCCAAACGGTTCTCTCGAAATGACTGGAAGTGGAAACTTCGTTGTTGGGTTGTTTTCTTGACAGGCACCAAGTTCCCAGAGAGTTCTGCAAACAGAGGCATTCCTTCCAGAACCTGCAGGAAAAGAAGAGCTCCTATGGACAAGTCTGTAATTCTGGGTTTCTCTCCCCCAGACTGTCCCTCGCAGAGGCTGGGGACGGGTTATGAGAAGCCTCGCCGCTCTTTTTTAGGGAAAACGTCACAAGTGAGCTGTGCTCTCTTGATGCAGACTTGAGATGAAGATGTTTCTAAGAACTCAGTGGCCTGTCAGGACAGCAGAGCATGCTGTCTGGAAAGGTCCTGGTCTGTTCTTAGGTCTATCTGAAGATATTTTGTTTGTGAGAGGTGCCCTAAAAGGCTACAAATGTGCCTCACACGTAAGGACTCCTTCTAGGTGCATAACAGCTTCAGCTGAGATGTTCTCATGATCATATCTGACAGCTGAGGAAACTGAGGCCCATAGATAAAGAGTACTTTTACCAGTGAGTGCCAGGGCTGCATCAGAACCAGGCACACCTGTGTCTCGGCCCTGAACTTCTGATTCCAAGCCAGCTCTCGGAGTTGACTCTTTTGTCAACTTGAGACAAGCTGACGTGTGAGAATAGGAAACCCCAATTAGGAAAAGTCTTGAAAAAAAAAAAAAGGGAAAAATAAAGGTCCCCCCACCAGACTAGCCTGTGGGTAAACCTGCAGCACATTTTCTTGATTGATGATTGACGTGAGACGGGCCAGCTCACTATGGGCAGTGCCACTCATGGGCAAGGTGGCCCTAGGTTGTATATAAAAGCAGGCTGAGCAAGCCATGAGGGGCAAGTCAGTAAGCAATGTTCCTCCATGGCTTCTGCTTCTGTTCCTGCCTCTAAGTTCCTGACCTGAGTTCTTGCCCTGACTTTGTCCCACAATAGGCTGTGATGTAGAGATGAACTATAAACTGAAATAAACCCCTTCCCCACCACGTTGCCTTTGGTCATGGTGTTTTTATCACAGCAAAAGAAATCCTAAATAAGACATCAGCTTTCCCAGGTAAGTCCAGCTAAGATTCAGAGGCCGGACCCTCAGATGGTCCCTAGCTTATTATATAAACATGAGAGAGACTCTTGGGATTGGTAATAATTTATAATTGATAACAATATATAATTAATATAATAAAATTATTGGTAATAATTTACCAATTAATAATTGGTAAAAACCCAGTTTCTATCCTCTCGTCTTTTAACCACAGAGTCTCTGCTTTCCTAGATGCCACCACGTACCATGGCTGCTGGTAGAAACAGGGAGTTTGGGTCAAATCCTACAGCTACTCTCTCTGCAACTTGAGTGTGACTTTAACCCTCTCTCCCAATCTTGGCTTCCCACTGGGTACACTGGGGTAATGAAGTTGCCTACAGTTAAGAGAACCAAATCTTATCTTATAAGCTAGGTACTTTAAGAAAAAAAGGATTTCAAAAAATGGGGTGTGTGTGTAAGAGAGAGAGAAAGACGAGGGGAGAGTGTGTGTATGTGTGTGTGTATGAGACAGGGAGAGAGGGAGAGGGGAAGGGGGAGAGAGAGAGCAAGCAAGTGAGCACCACATGCATGCGGGTGCCCATAGAGGCCAGAAGAGGGCACTGGATCCCCTGGAA